CCCCCCCCTTCCCTGAGGGATCCCCAGCACTCCCTGAAGGACTGAGGAAGCTGAAGACCCTCCCTGCTGCCCCGGGGCCAGTCCCATGTCCCCCATCCCCGGGCCTAGGGGGACCCTGCACCCCTCGTCCCCCCATAGGGACACTGCTGGGGAGGGGGGGGCTGTACCTGGGAGAGTGCCTGGGTGGCCGGGCCCCAGTACCCTTGGGAACAGCAGTGCTTCCCCAGCTGTGTCCCTAAAGCCCACCTTTGCTTTCAGAGGCAGAGGTTGAAGTTAACGATTCCTTGATGCGGTTTTTCGATCACTGCGCCAAGTTTGTCGCCTTGGTGGAAGAGAACGAGGCGGCGATGTACCAGGTGAATGCCTTCAAAGAGGGGCCGGAGATGAGGAAGGTCTTGGAGAAGGTTGCGAGTGCCTTGTGCTTGCCAGTGGAGGAGCTGAACGCAGGTAATGGATGCCTGCTGCAGGTGGCTTCGGCTCCGAGTCTGGCTGAGAACAACTTCTGAGACACTGTGTAGTTGTGCAGAATAGGTAATTTAACATATGCTGTGGATCGGAGATGTGCAGTCTCTAGTTAAATCCATAAGGCTGCAAATGTGTATTGGTGTTGCAGTAATGAATGCTTGTTAGTCAGTGGTCAGAAGGAAAAAAATGTTTGAAAATATCTTTCCTACAGATGAAATCAACTTTGCCTTTGTTTGGAGGAATACAAGTGTGTTATTCTTTTAATTCTGCTTTGTTGAGCAGATGTAGCTTTTGTAAAACCTGTTAGAATTCAAACACACAAACAACCTCAGGAAAGGGTGGACAGGTATGTCCCTGTTGTAACTTCACTTCTCCAGAAGAGAAGTGCCAGATTTCCCTGTGTGGTCAAGTGGGGTGGGGGGAGGGCGCAAAAAGGTGTTGCTATTGTTGCCAGCGTGTCCCTAAAGCCGCAATCCCAAAGTTGCAGCGTGCCGCTGTTCAAACTCAGCCACTAACGTGGAGGATGAGTAGCGGTAGTCAGAGTGCTCTGCGTTGAACAGACACGCCTTGCTTGTGCTGCCTCTTCTGGCCTTTGTGGCGATGAGGACGCGCTAGCGGTCAACACCTATGGCATGTACATCAGCAGGCGTGCAGCGTTTGATGTGAAATGCTCTCCTTTCCCCCTTGTAGCAGTGTAATGTGGAGAGCTTGCAGTCCGAAACTCGGATTCTGTGCAATAATTCTCTTGAAAACCGCTTATTTTTGGTGCTTGGCGTTTGGACTGGCAGTTATTTATTGGATTACATTGTTTTTATTGCTCAGTTGTAATTCCATTTTGGTTTAGAGACAAGTTGAAAGTTGTTACTTGCATACCAGTGCTTTATCTTTTGCTTGTTTGTTGGGTTTATTGCAGACCTTGTTCAAGTGGCTTTTCTCACCTGCTCATACGAGTTGGCTATAAAAAATGTGACCTCCCCGTGGTGCTCGCTCTTCAGTGAAGAAGATGCCAAGGTAGGTGCTAAATGGGAGCAATGAGCCTTCAAAAGATGCCTTTCGTTCAGTGTTCAGATATAACTTCACACAGTCAGAAGTTTTAAGGTAATAAGTTTTAAGTTAATAAGTGGCGCCTTGTTCTTCAGTCTAACAAAGCACTTTGGTCTTCAAAGAGCTCCGAATTAATCAAGCAGCAAGACTGAAATACCCATCTTCATTCAGACTTAAATACTGGTGCAGTCTTGAGTTGTCCTGATTAAAACAGCCTTTTCCTTTTGTGCTTAATTCTTATATGCTTTTATTTCCGTAACATCAGAAGTGCTCTGGGCAGCTTTGTTTTGCATATGATAATCAGATGATAAAATGCGTTGATTCTAGAGGGCATCAGATGAAGTATTCTAGGTCCTCTGAGACTTTTTGTGTTGTTTGGGGGACTGTCACATCTCTAAACCTAATGCCTGTTAATAAAACTGGTAGAACCCAGGTAAATGCAACTTACATTGGTTCCTCTTCTTTCAAAAAGTACCTGATGTACCCTTTGAAGGGATCGAGAGAGGGATTAAGAGTGATGCTATTTATTTGGCACTCCAAAATGTGCTCAGTAAGGCCCCCTTGAGGCTCTTGAGGAAACTTGGCACACCTGGGAGAGAGGGTAAGTGGTCAGCTAAAGAGTAGGCAGTGGAGTTAGGAGCAAACGCTCTCCTCTCGCAGAGGAGGAAGGTCACCATGGACTTCTGCTGAGACCTGTCCTGTTCAATGTATTTATAAATAACGTAGCAGTGAGGTGGGAAAGCTTCCTGGTTATATGGAGTTACTTGGGGTAGTGGGAATACAGGGAGTTCGAGGGGCTTTGCACAGGGCCCTGTGAGGGCCGCTTACACAGCAGTACAGTGGCAGATGGTGTTCACTGTGATCTGATGCATGTGGGATAAGAAGTTGAAACTCCGTATACGAGGTGGATTGTCTCTTGGATCCACTGCGCCACTGAGAAGTGAAATTTTGATGGTATAGATCCATGAAAATGTCGGCTCAGCTACAGTAAAAATAATGAACAAAAATTAAAAAAAAAACCAAACAAAAAACCAAAAAAACCACATTTTAATGCAAGGAATTGTAAGAAAAGGAACAGAGAACAAGGGGAGCATTGTGTGCTCTTACATAAACCCAAGGCGCAGTTCTGTCTTTGAGATCTGTGCACATCTCTGGAATGTAGAAATGGACAAACTCACTTAAAGCTATGGGATTGCTGCCATCTGAAAAATGATTAACTAAGCTAAGGATCTTTTAGCATTTCTTATTTTGCCTTATGAAGGTTAAAAAGTAGTGGATAGTGATTGTCTTGTCATGCGCAGAACCTAACGGGTGCCACATGAAGCTAGCAGCAGGCAGGTTCACAACAGACTGTTTTTTTTTTAACACTGTGTGTAGCCAAGCTGCAGGGTACTATTAGGGCTAAAACTTGGTACGTTCAAAGGGGAGACTGGGTTATTGTGGGAGAGAACCCACTGAAGTCTATTAAATTTGTAGATAACCAGCTTAGGGCTCAAAGCCCTGGGCTGAAGATGACTGGAGCCTGTGGGCATGTGCCTGCTGTTTTCCCTAGGCCTGACTGTGAGTGTGATCAGAGGCAAGATGCTGAGTTTGGTGGCTCTTTAGCCTGATCTGTTGAGTCTGGTTTTATGCTGAAGCGGTTTCAACTGGCGTCTTGATGTTTGGTGGGGGTTTTTGTGCCAAGGAATTGTTGATTTCGTGCAATGTGTGGTAGTGTCATTGCTCCAGGTTGTGGGTTTTTTATTTTCCCTCTGTGCCATAATAAAAACTTGTGAACTCTCTAACTTTAGGTACTGGAATACCTGAATGACCTGAAGCAATACTGGAAGAGAGGATATGGCTATGACATCAATAGTCGCTCCAGCTGCATTTTATTCCAAGATATCTTCCAGCATTTGGACAAAGCAGTGGAAGAGAGCAAAAGGTAAATAAAAAGGCTTTTGTGCTTTGGCTACAAGTTTTCTGGTCAATGCTGAGTTGGATTTGATCTGAAAAGAGGTGCTTCCAAACGTAACAATGTTAGGAGAGTTTAAGCTAGGAGAATTTAATGGAGAGAATCAGGTTTTTAATGCAGTAGTATTACTGTAAAGAGTGTATGTTTTTCTTCCATGGATGCTCTTGTGCCCAGCTACTCTATTTCCACCTTTTAACTTCAAGGGACAGCCAGCTGCTGTGGCTGATAATGGTGTTCGCTTCCTGCACAGTTTGAGAAGAGGGGCCATGGAGTTAAAAAAAATGAGCTTTTCATTTAGAATATCCTTGTTAAAAATCATCTGTGGTGAAAATGGAAGATTGAGGGTTGAAAGTATCCCCACGATATGTTCTGTGATCTGGTTACTTAAGCACTTCAGCATGGAAATCTTCCTTTCTGCATGTGTTTGATTTGAGTCTCTTATGTCACAGAATTACCTGCACTTGCTGTCATGTGCTGGTAATCTGTCTTTTTTGAGAGCTGCTTTAGGCTTAAGTGCAGTGCATTCATATGAGAGTTAATCTACAGCCTGCGTGCATGCTCCTCATGCAAAATGAGGAATTATGAATTCATGGTTTGGTGATTAATCACATGGATTAATACCTTAGCAGGTAAGTGTGGAAATGTACACAATATCAGGGATGTTACTGTAAGATTGTATAAACATTGTACCACTAAATACTTGACAGAACCCAATTTATAAATAACTTCAACTTTATAACCAGCAAATTCAGCTTTGGTGTGGATACGTAAACACTAGTTACACGTGGCGGATGTTCTTGCATTCCTAGCATCCTTGGGAATTTATTTCTGTAGTCAATGTATTAAAGTAGATCTGCCTAACACCCAGCAGAACAATATTAATGGCTTTGATATTTCAGAAAGAAAAGGATGAATCATGGCTATGTGAGGCTGGCTGTATGTATTTTTTTTACATGATAACTTGTTGGAAGGCATGGGGTTATTTCCTTTTAGTTGACAGACTGAAATTCTAAGTAGCATTTACGTTTTGGGTTGGAGGAATGATCCATAAAGTTGATTATAACCATTTTATAGCACAAGAGACAGCAAAGAAGTTTTTTTCCTTTAAAAGTTTGCTGACTGAGGATCCAAGCTGGACATTAACAGTGGTAGAAGAGCTGTGTGTTAAGTCAGCTGAAGCACAATTCTTAAACAGTCAGTTGACTTTTTTGCTGTCCTTTAGAGACAGAGATGCGTCTAATGATGTAGAGAGATACCCTGTGTGCATCACTGGAGCTCTGGGTGACACAAGAACATTGAGGTCATGTTTAACACAATATGTGACACGGTTTCCTTCATCTAAAGTGGAGTTATCAATACAAGTACTGTTTATGTGAATTACTTTTGGGATTCACCTGGAAGATCAGACAGACGTGCCTGGTTTTAGCAGAGTATTGGCTTAGTATGCGAGAAGGTAGATGCCTTGAAAGTTTGCTTTTGAGATGTACACGTAGGCTTTCCTAACGCTTGCATCCAGATTAGTGCCTTGATCCTGCTCTAATGATTACGTGAGCCCAGGGACGGGGGCTGTACAGGGTTGGAAGTGAGAGCTGAGGATGGGAGCGTACTACTAGAGAGCTAAATGAAAAATATGTTAGGGCACAGGTCATGAACTGCGAACGGGTTGGCAGGCACGCTGCTGTGATGGCCTCTGTCCTGTGCTGTGTCTACCCCTACGAACAGAGAAGGGAAGAACTGGGAATGAGAAGATCAGGAAGAAGTGCAGGTTAAAAGAAAAGCAGACGAGCAAGACCCTTAACACCCCTCTGTCCTGAAATCTGAGAAGTAACTTCTAAATGCAGCTTCACTTGTGTAGGGAGAGTCATCTTTTAGTGTAATTTACTCTTTGAACAGTGGCAGCCTTTCAGTACTTAAATTATATGCACTCGTTGCAGCTGTGTGCCTCGATGGTGTGTAATATATCGCTGTAAGTTTAATAATAATAAAAAAAAAAAAGCCATAGTTGACAAAATCTAGATCAGCAGTCGCTAAATTACAAGGTGGAGCAGGCTTCTCGGGGAAGAGCAGGTAAGGACTGAGATAATTTCATCCCGTCTGTCAGCTTTGTCTGCAGAAGTTTGGTTGCAATCTCCGGGGCTCTTTGCGTTGTGTTGCCGACCACAGAGGGAAGCAGGTTGTGAGTTTATGCGTGTGCATAAAGGATCAGGACACTAAAAATCTTGCAAAATTCAAAGCTGGGTGAGCAGTCTGTTTAGTCTGCATCATCCTAGGCAGGAACTGAAGGCTTCCGAAGTGCATGGCCTTGTACAAAAGGAGCCTGTCACGCCATCCCACAACGTAAGGTGGCACTCTTAAAGCACCGAAAACTGTACTGTAATCTGAATCGGGGAACCTGGTGCGCTTACTGTGCGGAAACCTGCCACCGTCGATGCGTTTGGAACAGCTTGTGTCTCCTGCCATCTCGAGAGCGGAGGTGCAGCTAATTCTTTTTCGTCTAGGGGGAGGGAGACTTATCCTGGATCCCGTGGTGATATGAGAGTATAAATGAAAACAAAAAACCATACAAATAAAAAAGAATATGCCTCTGTTAATAACAGTAGAAAATGTTTGGTTGTGCATATGTATGTGCATGAGTGTCTTTTTTTGTGGTATTGTACAACTTCAAGGCAACAGGTTAAATACTTCGCAGCAGTTCATTACTCAGAAAATGAGCCTTTGTGATGACAAAATGTCTTCTGGTGGAATGTTGTTTCAATTTAGCGATATTTAATGTTGATTTGTAACTGGCTGTTTGCTTTAAAAATTTAAGAACAACAGATTCACTTCCAGAGCATTATCCTTGCTCCAAGCTCTCCTTTCTTGCTGCAAAGCTTAGATTGGGCTATCCAAAATTAGAAAGGGGAGCATTTTCGTTCCAGCAGGAAGCTGAGGGATCTGGATTATCTGTTCTGCTCCAGGCTTGGCAGTGGAGAACAGTGTTGGCAATGCTGCTTTTTTGTAGCATACTTTAAGTGTTTATATTCAATAGCTTCCTCCTGTTTTCATTCCCAGTTACAGCTGAATTAAAAAGAGAAACCTTGCTTTTATCATAACCCTGTTTCGTCCATGAAGCGATTCTTGACCTTGCAATCTGATTGCTCATGGAACTTAGTTGCCTTATTAGTCACCTTTATTAAAGCTCACTTTTCTTCCTTCTGGGAAAAATACCTTCTGATTAGTCTATCCTTAAGAAAACTTTAAAGTGGTAATAAATACCTGTTGCTAATTAGTCCCACCTTCAATTTGCTGTGCAAAAGTTGCAGACATTTTTAGGATCTTTCATCATACGAATTCCAATAGAATTTTTGATTTAAACTAGCAATAATCTCTTCTGTGTAGGTCTTGCTGTACAGCAAGATGGTTTTGAGGGCTGTGAAAGGGATTTTCACTATGTGATTGCTCTTGTCCGCTGTTCCCATACAGACAGCTGGTGCCAAGGTGTTGGAATATCTATTCAGGAACTTGGGTCTGATGTTGAATTTATCGGTGGTTGTATTAGTGACCACGTACTGTTGGCACGCCCATGCATGGACCCTATTCTTCTACACACTCAGTAGCAATAAAGTACAGAAGTCTAATAAAGGTTAATTCTTTAGCAGAAAGCATCTATTCCTTCAGACCTTCCCACAGTTGCAGTGGGCCTTTCAGGACCCCATTCCTCCATATCTTCTTACCAGTCTGTAAGGAAATGTCATGGTCAGTTTCTAGGGAGAGATTGGGGGCCAGGACTCTCTCTTCGATAAAAATTTTTTTTAATTACAAAAAAAAATTTTATCACAAGAGTTGAATATAAAATTAAAGCAGGTGATTTGTGGTACTGAAATGGCATACTTGTTGTCTTAGTCCATAAAGCACTTCATTTTTGAGACGACATAAGAATTACCTTTTTCCCAAGTCTTCCTGCCATGGATAGAAAATACAGAGCCAGGCTGTGCAACTGTGTGGCAGAGAAGCTAATGGGGAAATGCTCTTCACTAAACTGTTGAGTTTTCCCCGCACTGGAGCTGAGGCCTTGCTGAAAGCATCCCTGCTTTTCATGGTGTTGGTACAGCTGCCAGGTGGCAATACGTGCGTGCATGTTTGCTTGCAGTTGTGCTGCTTGGAAGAACCCTTGAAAGGCTGCTCTTACCAGTCAGCATCTGTTTAAACAGTTAGAAAGTGTCCAATTCCCCAAAGCTGTGGTATTTAGGGACGCTTCGACATCGGGATGTAGAAGAGCAATCAATGAGTTTTGCCTTTCCCAGAAGAAGCATTGAGTTCTTTGGTGGCTCATCCGTGGGCTATGGCTAGTGACCTAAACCTATTACAATTTTTATTTTTCCCCACACCTAATGTAGTGCTGATGGTAGGAATAACCTCGGACTTGACAGGCCCCCATCCTTCCTCCAGAGGTGTATCTGGTCTGTGTTGCTGGGACTGCCAGCTCAACCCCATTGCTCACTGGCTTCTTGCCTTGTTGGGAGCCCCGGGACACTGAACGTGGGAGGAGAAAGGGGAAGCGCTACAGTCGCGGGTTGCTGCAGCGTAGGGTATGCATCGGTAGGAAAACTGTACTTAGAAGGGATAAAGATGTGCACTGCTTTCCAGCTTCAGGTTTCTGTGAGATGCCCAGCTGAGCCCTACGCCTGTGATCTGGGAACGCTGTTCTGCCAACAGGAACTGCGTGTGTTGATGAGAAAACAGTGTATTTTGGTAGTTAATGCAATACAAAGCTGCTAATCTTATTTCAAAAAAACCAAAACAAAACCTTGACAGCTACACACTTGGGCAGGGTGGATCTGAAAAGTGCTCGTAGCATACTTCAAGGATATCAACTATTCATTAAAGCTTCTATACTTTTTTTTTTTAATTCTAGCTTCAAATATTTAACAAGTCTGCCTTTCTTACTCATAAAAGAGAATATGAAATACCTGTTATTCCTTGTTCTGTCT